GCTCCCGGGCCCGGCGCCGCTATAAATAGGGACGGCTCAGCGGGCAGCGCCACTCGCCGCTTGCTCGGTTGTTGTTGGTTTTTGGTTGTAGGAGAGGCGTCTGTGTGTGTGAGCAGCGATGCCCGAGCCGGCCAAGTCCGCCCCCGCGCCCAAGAAGGGCTCCAAGAAAGCCGTCACCAAGACGCAGAAGAAGGGCGACAAGAAGCGGCGCAAGAGCCGCAAGGAGAGCTACTCGATCTACGTGTACAAGGTGCTGAAGCAGGTGCACCCGGACACGGGCATCTCGTCCAAGGCCATGGGCATCATGAACTCCTTCGTCAACGACATCTTCGAGCGCATCGCCGGCGAGGCCTCTCGCCTGGCGCACTACAACAAGCGCTCCACCATCACGTCGCGGGAGATCCAGACGGCCGTGCGGCTGCTGCTGGCCGGCGAGCTGGGCCAGCACCGCGTCTCCGAGGGCACCAAGGCTGTCACCAAGTACACCAGCTCGAAGTAGAGCGTCTCGGATCGTTAGTTTTTAACCCAAAGGCTCTTTTAAGAGCCACCCACTTTTTCAGTAAAAGAGCTGTGATGCGGTGGCGGCTGTTGGTTAGTTGTCCTGGGCTTTTCGGGGGGGAATAAACGGTGGCAGTGGAAAAGCAGCGGTGCCTGTAGGAACCCGGGGTGAGCTTGCTGGCGGTAAGCCGTGTGTTTGTCCTGCATCGTGTCTCACTGAAGCAAAGGACGGTCGCGATTTCATAAAAATACCCCGGGAGCTTCCGCGTACGGTGCCGAGAGGACGGGTGTCGGGGGTGGTTAAACGCTGAACGAACCGCGTAGGCGTCTCTTTAAATGCCCGAACACAACCGTGTGCTGGGTCGGCGGCGTCTGCTCGTTTTCCCAGTAAGTCACTAGCGGAAGGGGGATAGGCGGAAAGCACTAACGAGTCAAGACCACCGTGTGCTTTTCTTCGGCGAAAAGCCCTGGGCTAGGCTTCTCCCACCACCATTCGCGGGCGAACGGGGGAAGCAAACCGGAGCGCTTCCTGAAGATCTCGCTCCGGAGCAGCGCAGCCCGGCCCGCGGTCCCGAGCACGGTCTCTTTTCCCCCGGCTCTCGGCCGATTCCCTCCCCAGCGCTGCGTTTGCCCCGCGCCCCGTAAGTGGTGCAGTCGAGCAGGAGGCGGGGGGAGGGCCCCGCAGGCGCAGCTGCCCGGCTCGGTCGGACCTGGTTGAGAACTGCAGGGCGCTCCCCGGCAGGCGGGCCCGGCCCCGCACAGGCACCG